TGTCAGATGCAACTGCGTCAGTCTTCTGGTAATGTTAGCCGTACAGTGACACGCCTCTGCTTTAAAGCGAGATTTCTTTTACACAGAAACTAAACTAGAAGCCGGCGTCTCAGTAGAAGGTCTCCTTTGTGTTCTTGGGATTTCACCTTCGATTATTTTATTCAGAGACTAGGAATTCTCGTTGAGATTTCCATCACAGCTACCTGTGGTGTAGAACCTTTAAACAGGCCACGGAAATCCGGTTCACAGCCTCCTCGATTCATCACTCACCGTGACGGTATACATAATTCAGAAAGCTTCGTTCCTTCATAAAAAAAACTGTCAATCGCAACTCGCTTTCAGGTATGTTTGTGTTTTCTGACATAACCTTAACTTCAGACTTTCGATGCATTATTCTCTCCCCACTAAATGGCAAGTCGTTAGGGCAAGTTCTCAACATTTAATTAGAGTTTTATGTCCTTATAGAAGTACCCAACTCGAATTGCGACCTAAGCCCTGGCAATTTCGGTAGTTTTCGTGTTCCTACGTAAGTTCTTCCCCGCCGTGTGAAAGGACAGTGCCTTAAAATAAGTCACTTGTTACCACCCATCTTCGTACCAATAGCCTACCTACATAAGCGACATCTCTGCTGGCAATATAGCACACAACGCTGATTTCGTCTTGCATCAGTTGCTGGAAAGTTATTTTACGATTACACACATTTTTGTGTGTATGTGACACACATCTTATAAATCGCAAATGTAACACTTAGCTCGATTAGAATATGAGAAATGTCTCCATATGCTCTGTCCTTCATCTCAGAGTTTACAAACGGCGTTAAATTAAATACACATCAGTAACCCTTAAAACAATAAATAATGCAGTCGTAGCAGTGAACATGTGGATATATGTATGTATCATACAATAGCTCCTCTAGCCCATTCAGGGCACTGGCCTCTTATTCAGTTCCGTAATCATTTTTCACAGACGGTAGGACTCCTTGGACGAGTGCCCGTCGCCTCTACCTAAACACAGGACAACACAAACACAGAATAAACGCATACACAGACATCCATGCCTTGACTGGGAATTGAACTCACGATCCCGGCATCCGGCGACAGTTGACGTCTTAGATCGTGCGGCTACTGTGACCGGACCTCGAAGCTATTACCAGGGCTTCATTAAGAGAGTAACGTGCTGAACTCAAATAAATAGCAAGTAATTTACATCTATGAGAAGCATTTTGTGATTTCGTTAAAATTATGAGAGATCCTGGGTTTTTAGTAGATTTCATTAAAAAGTTTTAATAAGCCCAGTTCTGAGATATATATACTACCAAATGAACTTCATCAAATATTGTGATTTGTCTTGGACAATTTTGGAGCTAGGCATGTCACGTTTCTTCCAGGAATATTCATAAAAATAAAACTTAAGGCTCCAAGAAGAGATCTTTATACAGATTAGTAACAATTATTTTATTTATTTTTATCAACAATAAATATTTATATTATATTGTCATCCATATGTCCTAAATTAATATTTCTGACTTCGAAAATATTTAGTATGCGTTGAAATATATGATCTTAATTACGAACTTCAAATATAAGAGAATAAGTTAAATGAATGAAATTGTTCAGTTATTCATAAATATCAATACCCCCTTTCCTGAATATCATTATGTTTATTCCACCAATTCTCTTCCCAGAACTTCGTAAGTACCGTATTTACGCATGTATAGGCCGCGTGCGTGTATAGGCCGCGTGCGTGTTTAGGCCGCAGCACAATTTTCAGACAGAAATTATAGAAAAAATAATTTTCTTGGAATATTATTTCAGGAGTATTACACTCTGTATTACTAATTATGAATATTTTTTTTTAAATGAAGTGTGATTTCGAATATTTCGAATATAAGCCGCACCCCAGTTTTCCTCTTGAATTTTTGGCAAAAAATGTGCGGCCTATACATGCGTAAATATGGTGAAAATTCAGTGAAACTGTGACTTCAGGGTGCTGCTCAAGAACTGCCATATGCAAGAACAGGTCACCGAAGGAGAATCGGTTTTAACCGTAGCAAGAGAAGTGAAGCGTCGAATTTTCCCATTGAATTTTTATAAGTATTCCATTAACCATCATAACAACTAATGTAAACAAGCACAAAGTCAATTTGTTGCCGTGTCGTTTTCAAGCCATTCTCATGGAAACGAAATGCAAAACTGATCTAACCAACCCAGGTTCTGCTATGTTTAGCAAAGCTGTTCTTTAAAATCTGCTACAACTGTGAAACAATTTCATTGATATTTACTTAACTATTTAACTATATGGAGACGAAGAAAGGAAAGCAAAGGGAAGGTAAACGGATATTGAAGAATGTTAAAATTGGGTTGAAGATGCGAAGAATTTATTTTCCCCAAGGGACTACTCCTGCGCATGAGCACATCTGTCGAAGCCAAATGACAGAATATAATTTAGGTCTATATAAAGAATGTAACCTTTCCGATTAATTATGCAACCGGCATTATAGTAGTTTTAATCTTTACTAGATGTAACAGACATAATACTGGGTGTTTCTAAAAGAATGGTGGGGTCTCAGATACCTATATATTTCGTATTTCTTACCGTGCATAATCATAACATGTGTCAATCGGAAGTAAATTTTATGTGCATCCATCAAAGTGCCTCTATGTGCGCACCTTTCGTTACCCGGCACACATCAATGCGATAGTCGAATTCCTGCCACACTCGCTGCAGCATTTCAGGCGTGATGGTCTCCACAGCACGACTGATTCTGTTTCGGATCCTGGAGCGATTGGGTCAATGGGAGTACATAAACCATGTCCTTCACGTACCCCCACATGAAGAAATCACATGGAGTTATGTCCGGGGACATACGTCCCTCTCACTCTTTCCACATCTGCATGTGGCACATGTGGTCGCCCAGAACTCTTGCCTTTACAGAGACATCCACTGTCCACAAACTGACGGTAAAAAAAAGGTAAAGCTATCCCTGTAACAGGCAGTGAAGGCCCATAGGGTTGTGAGACGTTGAGGCTCCCACATTATTTAGAAAACTGGCTCAAAGATGGCGATAAGGTTGTCAGCGTCACGCGCCGGCCGCGCTTTACTTCCCAGGAAAATTATTTAATTAATTTCTGGTGCTCATTTCTGATAGAGGCTGAGTCGACCCCAGGGCTTAGTGCGGCTGGAAGGATTAGGTCAATTGAAAAAAAAAAACTCAATGACCTTATCGAGACTTGAACCCGCGATCTTCTGACTTGTAGAGTAGGGCCTCAACCAACTACGCTACCGCGTACCTTACAAACTGCCTGTTCCATCTGCGAATGTTTTCATGTGGAGCCTCCTTCTGAAAACGTACACGAAATTCACGGCTCACTGTAACGACGGATTTAGACACCTCAAATCGCAGCACGCAATAGGTCTTCTCCTGCTGGGTCGCCATCTTACATTTCACGCCGCCTAACTTTCGAAAATGGAACTGGGAAAGAGCGCGATATTCATTCATCAGTAATGAATGGCGATATAAAAGAGGAAAATTTGAGAGCCATGTTATGAATCCGTACACGTTTTGCTTTTCATCAGCAAAAACTGACGGAGATATACGGCAATGAAATCCCACCATTCTTTTATGAACACCCTGTATTTTAGAAACGAATAAAGATCAGCAAGAATCATAGGAAGAAACGTTGAGCCTATAACGAAACGTGAGGAAACATGAAATTTCGCTGTTATTGACGAGAGACTAACTTAAAAATATAAAGAAACGTTAACTTTCTCTCATCATCATCATCATCATCATCATCATCAGTAATCTGTCAAGACGACAGGTCCACAGTCTCTTTCAAAACAATTCCTCCACTTAATGCGATCTAGAGCTTTCTCCTTCAACTTTCTCTGAATGAAAAATATGCAGTGGCAGTTTAAGATAAAAATTGTTATCCACAAAGACACTATCAATGGCAAAAATTAAATGTATTATTCACAATGAGGAGATCAGAAAACTTAGCTTCAGAAGATCTCAGTAACTACTATTAGCCCACAATCTGAACAAATGTTAAAATGTTTAGCAATAAATTCATTTGAATTCAAAATGTCGCGACACTCCGCTTCAGAAACACCGGGTTCTTCGTCTCTCATACGCAGAAGCACACATAGCAGATTGGGGTGTGTTCTGAAGCAGTCAAGTCGTAATACAAGACTTTCAGAAATGCCACGCCCGATCCCTTATGTATCTGTAAATATGTGTCACGCGAATCTCAGATATTAAGAAATAGCTCTTTCATTACATGCAAACACAAAGCCGACACAGATATGAGTTTTCCAAAGGGCTGTAAGTTGATCAGGCTGTTCGATGAATCAATACGATAGCTTATTCTTATTTATACAAAGTACCGAACATTGGAATGTAGCCACTTATAAATATTTTATCGAACTACTTAGATATTATGAAAAAAAAATATTTTTTTCACTACGATTTGTTTTTTGTAAGTGAAAGTATAAAATGCAATGTTCAAGACCTTTTTCTATTGTGTATAAAAATTAAAATGCTAAAATTAAATGTAAGATTTTTTACGCAAACTAAAAAAAATGCATAACATTTTCTAAAGAATTTCATTGGGTAATTGAGGAATTCAAATAGTCCTAAACCTATAGAACGACTGGGCACTGACATCGACTTTTCTGATATCGATGAAAATTTTCATGTCGATTGATATCCCTAGTTCCTTTCATTACAGATGAAATCTCGGTTTTATAAAATCTTATGTGTACTCTTATGATATACACCTAATGTACTGACGCCACGAAGCGTCCCCAATAGACGCCACTTCGCATGTAATCATTCGAGTTGAACATTCTCTCGTCGGTTTGAATAGAATTATTACTATTTTCTAGGTTCTTTGGATTTTAATTTTAATTTCAATGGTCGTGTTTTCATTGTTGATGCATTGTTAATAAGGTGTGTTTAACCTAAAAGATATAGAAACAAAATTTTGTGTTTAACTTACAAATGGACAGTGTGTTGCTCCTCCTTAATGGTTTCTGCAAATTGTAAACCAGAGCTTAGTAACCAGTCACATGAGCGGAATCCTCTTCGAACATTTACTATCGCATTAAACTGTAGCAAAGGCAGTTCTGTAAAAGCGTAATGCAACTTGTGCAGGAAAACGCGAGGCTTACTCCTGGTTGTAAAGTACAATCAGAACACTCTGAAACTGATAGCCACTAACAATTGAACTAATTACACTTCACAGGATGCCACTTATTTCCACTTCTATCACAGTTTACGAGTGCATACCGGGCCTCTGCAGCCTGTTATCCAAGCCGTGAAAGGCAACTTCCAAATTTCACATGTCAGGTTCACAGAGATCAATATTGAATTTTAAGATGACTTAGACTAATTTTTGGATGCAAACTGATAATGAGATTATGTGTGTTCTCCAGATGAAAGAATTCTGCAGTTGACAGTAACATCCGCTGGGTCACCTAGCCGCATTTGACAGCTCATTTGACTGCACTGGACACTACAGTACACAATTCACTTTCGTTTTCGGTGGAACCACAAACAAAGAACTTACATACGAACGTTAAGAATTTGGAAATTCCTTTAAAGTTTTACATTTTGTTTCTTTCGTCATTCTTAAAGAATTAATGGTTTCTTCAGAGTTTCTTTCTCTCGAGTTAAGCAATATACTCGTACATGAATATTTCTTTTCTTCCTCTTTCATAATTAATTCTAAGGGAGCAGTATTTATCTAACAGCAGTTCTTTACTACAATTTGTTCCTTATGTCTCACAAGGATGCGATTTTATTAAGCATTTCGTTACAAACACAACAGTCACTGAACACCTAACAGCCACAGACCAAGACACAGCTTACACTACTCGTAATTTGAGTAAGCTTCACCTCAACCAGCGGGAAGAGACATGTCACGTGAGGCTTGCAATGCTTCAAAGGCGCGCTGCATCCTAGTGTATAAGCAGCAGAGGAGTGTAAAACGCACAGAAACTGAACTAGCATTTAGTTTCATGCCTTTACTGCTTGCCTTGCGTGTTTTAAATCGAGTCCTCTCGGGATTAATTCATACTGCCTAATATCCTAGCTCTACTGAGCTCGATTTGAAATTAAAAGTTTGAACAATAATCGAAGTCATATCAAGTGTTGAGTGTTGTGTTGTGACGGATAAAACACACAATTGATATAAGTTAATATACAACAGGATGCATTTCTTGAAGATTATAATCGAAGTTGTAAACAAGTTTTACAGAAGCTAACCTAATAGATCCTATCGCATTCTAGCCTAACCTGCTACCTAATGTCATGGCATTAAAAATAAGCAACTAGACTTTGAAGTTAAACTTAGCAAAGCAAACCGTATTCAATTATGCTTAAAATTTTTTTTATGTTTGAAAGTAAACTAAAAATAACCAAGAGTAAAATTATGCATATGCTTAGCATACGTAACCTAAAACGATAAATAATATGATTAGAAACAGCGGATCTTAAATCAAGAAGGCTTGCAATTGTTACTTACATTAAACTGTGGGTTGAAGACGAAGTGGATGTTAAGCCCACGCTAGACCAAGTCTGTAATTCTAGGTGGAATAGAATCCACTCGTAATTACTCCAGATTGACATTTTGTAAAACATATGCTCCTCATTCTTACTATTACAGTTAACTACTTATTTGTTAAGAAAGCGATATTCTTTAACGTCTGTTCTAAGGAATGGTCAAACCAGACCTTAGGTGGTAAAAGCCGGATATATTCCTGCTCATTTTATAAAGTTTTCCCTTGAAAGAAGATTATCGACCAAAAAGAAGGGCTGGAGTCCGAACTGAGCCATTTCCCCTCCTATTTGTAAATTCAGCTACCTATGAAGGGCTTATGGTTGCATGCTTTACTCTAGAGAGAAAACCATTTAGATAATCTTTCTTAAGATAAAAATCCTCATCGAATAATTAGTGTTCGCATGCATAAGTATTATTTTTCGTTTTACTTGTTTATTTATGGTTTATTTAACGACGCTTCTTCCTAAATCAGATGGTTAAAAGTGGGCAAATAATAAGACGGCATTGAATAATGAACTGTAGAATGTGACCGTCTGCTAGGACAGAGGGCCTATTGACTAAGTTTTGAAATCTGGACCCGCTGACCACTGGACAGCAACCTTCAGCAGAAACTATTGTTGTAAAGTTTTGCGCTGAGAATAACCGATTAAAGGTTCGGCTACACAGAGCGCTACGCTATGTTCGCTACGTACGCTACGTACGCTGTATACACTCTGCGACGCAGGTAACATAGGGAATATAGCGTACGTAGCGTACGGAAGTCTGTGTGGCCAGTCACATTGGCAATAAAGGGAGATGTTTTTCTGTTCGTATAGCGAACATAGCGTACGTAGCGTACGGAAGTCTGTGTGTGGCCGAACCTTTATTAGCTGCTAATTGATTGACGCGTCATTAAAAATTCTGTCTAGACTAAATATGTCACACATTGACTATTGTTATAAAAAGACCGCGATTAATTTAGGGTTTGAATAGAGGCTTCCGTAAACCGATCGAAGACAAGTTTTCTCGTACTACACTAGAAAATCCACGGAAACCCTCAGTAATGGAACTCTTTATTCCCCCCAAGATTCCAGAATAAGGTAGGCTGCACACCCGCATGCGTCAAGACATGTAACACTCAAGACACGATGTCTGCGACATGACGCAAAGACAGGAGCACAGTTGAAAAGAATGAGATCATGAAAACCGCCGCACACCGGTCTGAGTCATGTAGCTGACGTCATAATGCTGACTAAGACCGGTGTGCTGCAGTTTTCATAATCTCATTCGTTTCAACTGTGCTCCTGTCTTTGCATCATGTCGCAGACATCGTGTCTTGAGTGTTACATGTCTTGACGCATGCCGGTGTGCGGCCTACCTATGAGTTTAGTTATTTACTGCTATAGTAAACCGCTTAGTGACTATAGGGCCTAAGTGAACGACATGTGTGAACCAATTACTTCGTGTGCGTGCGTGTGTGTATGTGTGTCTGCTAGCGGCTGCAGTGTGGGAAGGTCATCCCAGTACTACTGTTTCATTATTCCCGAATTCCAGGTCAAAGAGAAATTCCATTAACATAATATGAATAATTTGATAAGCATTAATTGAATTAAGTGAAGAAAGGACTTTTGTGCAGTTCCAAATTACGATGAATTGAAAGTACTACGAATCTTCTATTCTGTTCTATTACTATTGTACTAAAAGCTGTAAGAGGTTTTTGGCAATGGTGTTACCCCGAATCAATTTTCTGGACGTTTTGGTTATGAACGGTACTGACCATCCTGTCCTAAGGATTTCAGCACCGTACAATTGCATTTTGTTTTGTTTGTCTGAACAATATTTTGCATAGAAACAGACCCAACGCAGTTAGACTGAAGGACAAAACTCCGTTTGTTGTGATCAGGATCGTTGAGAACACCCTTAAGATTTCGACTGTCTACAGTGGTTCACGGTTCCCAAATTGATAACTTTTCCCATTGATATATGTGTACTGCTCTCCAACTTAATACCTAAAGCATAACTGTAGATCAAATATGTTAATAAACGCATTCAATTCTGAGTTTAGCGTCTGTTTCCATTCGTTCTATGTATTGTATTTATCCATACTCGTATATAACCACGACACAGTTTCTTGAGTGAAATCCAATGAATGTAAAGTTAATAGAAACATATAAGTAGACGCTACAGCCTCCCATTTTTGGGGAATTTATAATCTCTCAAATAAATTCATTTTGAAATAATAAAAGTAAAGTTGTAAGATTTGAGGCTTTCACGGCGGTGAGTATGAAGAAAGCAGTCTTCTGGGATTTGGCACCGTGTATATGTGGTGTTAACCGACGTTTCGGAGGAACGTCTGCTTGACCGTGTCTCACGGTGTTGTCGCTTGCAGATTTACCTATACTTCTTCAACCCTGAAGATGGGGGCGATACGTTCCTCCGAAACGTCGGTTAACACCACATATACACGGTGCCAAATCCCAGAAGACTGCTTTCTTCATACTCACCGCCGTGAAAGCCTCAAATCTTACAACTTTACNAAGCACTACGCCATGAAGGCGTGTAGGGGAATGGATGTATAGACCCACGTTTTCTTGACCTCGACACTAATTGGGGGGGGTGAGTGGTCAGCTTCACGCCCCGGCCTCTTTACCCATGGGGAAAGAGCCCCCGGTATCCATTGAATAGGAGGTTGGGTGGACCCCAGAGCCGGTCTCAACAACACGGAGAAGTGAAAATTCTTGACTCCACCGGGACTCGAACTCCGACCCCTCGGTCGTCCAGCCAGTAGATTTTTAGGTGATATGGAAGTATAATTTTTGTACCAAGCTGTAAAAACATGTTGTACATATACAGTAGAACTTGGTTATAACGTCATCAAAGGGACCTAAAAATAGTGCCGTTATAAACGAATGTCGTTGTAACCGAAATGGGCACTTCCACAGTAGCCTTATGTTAGTCACGTAAAAATCTACCAAAAACCGAGTTAAAATGGTGCATTTTTTTAGTGAAATACGTAGTTAAGTACAGACTAACGTAACATTAACGTGGAATTGCCCAAATGTGTAATATCAAAGACATATTACAGCGCTTTTCACTGACAATACACACCGCACTAATACTGTATATTAAAGGTAGGCCTACTCACCAAATTACAGTAGATTACATCAATTGTTGTGCCTTACTGTACCTAGATACGAGTACAGTAATCAGTTATCTTCATCTGTTTCCTGTTACTTGCCCAATACACACTTTCTAAATTACGTTCA